TCGTATGCAAAGGGATTTTTCACGGTGCGCCAGCTGACTGTGTACAGAACGTAAATCAAAATCTTTTTTTTTTTTCAAATTCCATGCGCAGTCAAATGCAGTGAATTAACTACATGTCCACACCTCATATGTAGCTACAACTGAAAGTGCTGTGAAGACTACTCTCTCTCTCTCTCTCTCCAATAAGTCGTATACACGGGTAAGTTCATGTACTAGTATGCAGTGTATACCAAATTAAACTCCACCCACAGGTGTTTAGTTTACAGAGGTTTTACTATCAAAGTATCGAACAAACCCAGCCTCTGTGAGTGGCTGTGAATACTTAACACATATGTGCAGAAAACATAATCTCTTCGTTCATGGAGGGGGAGGACGACGATTTCAATTACTGTGCATAAAAAAATTGTTTTTGATGTTTGTGCAAACTTTTAGAGTTTGGTCAGATTCGTTTGCTGTTAATATTTTTTTAATTATGCACAGCTCTAAAGATTAACTTTTCAGATATACTTTTAATTTGTCCAATATGGACAAGTTTTAATTAGTTATTCAGTATCACTCACCTTTAATTCTAAATAGTGTGTAACCTTTGATTTGCACTTGATATACAAAAATATGGAGCCAGAAAAAAGTCACACACTGGAAACTAAATCACTGATAACAACTAAGAAGTTATCATTTGATTTGCCCTATCATAATATGAAATCCTAGAAGTCGAAATGTTTGAAATACGGTATGGGAATTAGTTGCATATTTTAAAGCCATTTTTTTAATTTTTGCATAAAAGGTACAAACATTTTATCAATATATGCATTTAGTTGATTTTCTCCCAAAAGATGCAAGATTTCAAGAAGGCTCAAGTTTGTGAAAGAAATGGTTAGTATTTATTTGTCTGGGGCAGTTTCTTTGTTCTTGCATATTCACAGAGCATACTTTATGCATTTTTTTTTATAGACTTGCCTACCGGTATTTCCAAAACTATGCAAGCATCCATTGTGTTCTATAATACCAAATGTCTGAATGGGTTTGGATTACGCATATACTGAACTCGGATGACATCTTCATTGCATATTACCGAACATGATTATTAAAGTTGTATTCTCTTATTTTATAAATCTTTGGATACAAGGCTAACTTGAACTGTCCCTGTGAAACATTTGTAAAGATTTTCTTTGTCACAAAGCGCAGTATATTTAATTACCGGTAAGTACATCTCACCCTCCCACGGATGACAAACTACAAATTGCATAACATCAATAGAATCCTTGCTCAAAAATTTTAACTTTTATATATATACCCATTGCTCACCGTCATTTAAAAAACCATTAGACCTTAAAAACATCAGCTCAAGAATAACAAATATAATTGGCATTTTTTTTCACACAAAACAAAATGTTAATAAGGTCATATTTCCTTCTAAGTCTCTGATCATTTTAGATCTCTCTCACACAGAAATTGTTAAAAGTTGATTCTAACTTTTCATAGTATTTAAAGAAAACAGACACTCCGTGAAAGAATGATATAAAATTGCCAATGGTAATGAAACCAGTCAATTCACAAATCTAGAAAAACAAAGAATGCACTGATACCCCTTCCTCCTCTTCACAATCGGATAATTGCAGAACCAGTTGTAAGTTTTAATAAGGCGGTGGGACATAATCTACATGCTAACTGGAGGTGGCACTTTGTATCCCCCTTCCCAATAGAAAAATAATTGATTGCGTATATGCATCCTCTGTATAAGGTTTGGTAGGTCTTTTACAGCATTTCACAGCAATGACATTATTTTGTATGCCTCTCTGATACCACTCAAATAGGCTCCAAACACAGTCTGGGGATACTGACGATTTGTTGCCTGGAAATGATGAACACAGGACAGAATTAATAACACTAGTCATGGAAAATCAAGAATGTCTGTAAGCAAATGTCTGCACATTTTTAAAAATTCTGCACATTGTTAAAAGTGATATGAGATTTTGATTCGGTTTACACCAGCGCAAACATCATATATCACTCAAGGTAACAAATGGGAGTAATTCCTGTCAAATTTGAAACATCTTATGTCTGAAATGATATAAGTCAATTGTATGCCCTCAAATGGTAACTTTCCATAAAGTATTTGTGTAAAATGATGGCTTATTAATATATTCAGATTGTGCTTTCTTACAATCGACATGTTTTTGCTCAGCTTCATGCTTAGAATTATGTTCCAGTCAAAAATGAATCGATTTCATTTCAAAATGGCATCATTGAAGACACTGATGTATGTGGTTACAGTTTGTATTTTCTTAGGGTCAGGACCAAACATGTTGGGGTTACATTCGTTGATCGGCTTGTGACACTGAATGATAATGACATTTGCGCTAGTGTAAACATAGTTCAGGTGTAACCTCTAGAACTAAACTACAGCACTATGGCCTGTTAAAGTGTTAAATGTTAATGACCATCTGTCAATGATACGTACAGTCACACTGCCATTCAGAGATGTCACTCACCTCGCCAGCAAAGAAGACTTTATCATTCACGCTCTCAGCAAGTATATCATAGGCTTCGCCACTACAACCAATTTTAACATAACTATAGGCCATCTTGGAGTATTTCTCTTCACTCCATCGAGTCACAAAATAGTGTATCGGATCAGGAACATCCTATAAGAGAAAACAAGTTATGATAATGAATCAACGTGACTGATTTCTATGACTACTCAACCCTTAGTTTTCACATTGTATTTCATATAGCATTAACCTTGTGTAGAGTCACTTTGACCATGCAATTGTGTCTGAAACAATATTTTGGCAAGATTTTGTCATATTTAAACAAAAACATATTTAAGAAAAATCTCAGCTACCGCTGCTTTAAATATACAGGTTCCATTTCCATGGAACTAATCTTGCAAACCACTATCATTTCATAAGTTCTCACCTCCTGGGGGAACATATCCCTGAGTACTTGCATACACTTTTGCATGATTTCTTGGTCTGTCATATCTTGTATAGTGAAGACAGCTTCCCCACTGATGACACTCATTAATATACTACCATCAACACAATCCTAAAATAGAAAACAAAATGTCATGCTAAGAACAGCTTTATCACTGGTATCTGACATATCTTGTTAGTTCAGTTGTTAGCACACAATAAGAAACCAAAATCACTTGCAAAACTTTTTCACCTTTAATAATAATAATAATAATAACATTTTCAAGAATAACGAGAAAACTATAACTTAATGCCAATTGCTCATACTATTTTGTATTATTATACATCAGTCACCGTAATGCCATAAGTTACAGTGTGTCGTCATTTTGCGGTATTTTACAGGGCATTTTCATCCTACCATATTAGGTAGACCAGATTCAACACAAAGAAGTTCACAGATTCTGTTCTAAACATTTTGGATTTTGACACTCCCATGGTGTGTACCCTTGGAAGGAAAAGATGTATAATAATAAGGTTATTACGAGAATAACTCAAAGTATGCACTCAGACAGTACACTGTGCATCGATCTCCCCTGCGCGTCGGACGATATTCCAGCTGTACTGTCTTCGTGCATACTTTGAGGTATCTCATAATAACCTCATATTATTCCCTGATCTTAGCAGATTTATAAGTTGGTGTTTGCTTTGTGTCTTTTCATGTTTAAAATGTGGGTGCCATATTTAAGCAATCAGAAAGGATTATTTTCAGGACTTTACCTATGTGACCAGACTTTCATAGTAAGTTAATTATATTCTAAATGATTTCTCAGCACTGAGCATAGTAGAATTACAAATCTTTCTGTACTATGAGTAGGTACCATATTCTTGGGAGCGAACATCCAGACATTTTCACTGCCTGGCAATAACAACCAGTGAAAACTATGGTTGAAAACTTATAAAAAACTGTAGTTTGTGCTTTTATTAATGGCTTTTTGAACAGTGGTCCACAGCATCTCGGGCAGAGCCCATAGAATACAAATGTATAATGGTGCGTGTCTTAGCTCTGATTATGAGAGTAAGTATTAAACAAGCAGCCTATCGGCTGAGATAGCTCCGCTGTTAGCAATGCACATTTCAATTAAAGAACTGAAGACATCATTAGAAAATGAACAATATGAATAGTATCAAGCAATCGGACTTACAGTTTTTAACAAGAAGTCAAAAATATCACTTTACAAAAAATTACAAAAATATTCACCAAATAAATGGAGAATTGAAGATATCATCACAAAACAAACAAATCTGAGAGAG